GTATACAGGATTAAGGGAACAGAAGAGAATTGAGGCACAGTTTATTTTTATAATTGTTTTCTCTCCTTTCCTATAGTAGTTGAGGTATTGAGTTTATATTGTTTAATGTCTGACTGACAGCAACGGAACTTTGAAAACGATCTTCGTTTAAGTCTCCTTGCAATAGTTTCAGTGGGAGTGAGCTCAAACTTGCCCGAAAAAATCCTTTGATGGTCCTGACCTAGCGTTGTTATTTTCTTCTCTTCCAGTTCCACTGGTGCCATTCAGCTAAAAATTGGTGGGAATATTCAGGACAGGTAGCCAACAAAGTGTTCGACCTTGTCAAAACGGCAGCCGGAGAGGCCATTTTGTAACATGATTGTGCAGTCATGTTTTTACCTGTGCAACACCTATTTCAATCTTCTCAAGTTTCACAAGTTGGATTGAACTCCAACGTTACTGTCAAATAATAGGTAACACGTGTTACGGTTACCTATTCCTCACCAAAACTTCCATCTGCATCATGGAAAAAACCTTTTAGTAAGATGTCTTTCAATGTAGAAAAATACCCCTTCTACCTTAATTTTTTGTGGTCAGATGACCGTTACGGCTCGTGGGCCTCTTGTTTATTAGTATCTTTTAATTTTACCTCAAATTGATGTTTGAATATATTTAGACAATTATTTTCGTCATGGTTGGTGCATTATCATGTTTTTTCAGTAATATGCGACAGTAATAACATATAGTTTATAGATTACCATGATTATAATTACTTGATTTCTTCAAATGCTCATTCATATGACTTATACAATCCTGTACCGATAATTCGTGTTTATAATTGATAAGATACATCCAATGACCGCCTCAATAAACATACATATATTAAACAACATTTTCTAATGAATGAAAATCCAACCATGATAAACTATGGCAGTTAGGTGTCTCAAATAAGAAATTCCGCAAATTGCATTTCATATTAAGTAAATCCAGTTCACAACATCTTAGCTCAAAGTGTATTAACTACAGTGATTGACTTACATATACCATTAATATAGATGTAGGTACTTCTAGAGTCATATTAGGTTACAGATGCGCTAGCTTCCCTATGATATTAATGACAAGGTTAACTATTTATTACATTAGTTTTTCCTCTGTCTGGACCTTTCCCCAAAAGTTATCAGACGTCTTTCAACTTCTTGCCAGTTTCCTTTCCTATTAGCTAATTGCTAATTTACAACTCTATATCCATAAACACATCCTTTAGTTATTTTAGACTATTTACGTAATGTAATTAGATATAAGACTATACATAGGGTTACCTTGACTGCATTAGTCACAAAACAAATTCTGACATGTGAAGATAAAGCTTCAGAATTATTAATAGTTCGTACTATTTCTCATTTAAGATTCTGATCAATATTTGTGGTGTGATAGACACTTTGTAATGAAATATAGAAAAGAAAACCCATGATTGATTTAGAATAAACCTGTTGTACTTTCACACTGAATAAACAGACAGTTCAAGACAAACATGTTTACGTGTATAGTATCTTCAACAGTATCAGTCGGTTAATAGGAAATCTGTGAGTTATATGTCTTTCCAGATTTGCCATCCTGTGTATCCTGCAATATTGTAACAGTTACATTAATATTATACAGACAACTATAGACTAAATAGGAATACATTTTGATACTAGAAAAGTTTCACACCAAAACATTACCCTAGTCAAAAGTATGTATCTTATGTGTATAGATGTCGAAAAGTATCTTTGTGTAGACGATGTCAAACACTGCTTAGTGTTTATACCCATGTTTCGGTATAATTATACAATACATCTGGCCATCTCGCCCTTCCGTAACATCTGGCATTATTTTCTCCTTGCACAAGGACGAAAGTCTCCGAGAAATGTTTCATTTGTATTAATTTTGCTTCGTTTATTCTCGTTCGTTTGAACAAACAACATGTCGAGATTTACATTGTTGTTTACTTAAGGATTTCCTTCAATTGACTGATTAGACATCAGAATCCGTCATCTAGCATCACTCAAGAAAGAATGTCGAAATCGTACATACGAGATACTAAAACAGCATCAGTTTTTATATATAGTCTACGATAAATTCATATTTTTTGCACGCGCCTATGTCGTCACGTAAAGACTATGATAATTGTATTAATATGAGCGATCAATACTGTTAAGTGAGTTATTTCATACAGGGATGTTCGCTAAAGTACACTCTACAGATAACACGTTTTCCCCGATGTCCCAATCGAAATAAAACCTCATATATCCCATTACTTGGTATTGCATCGGTATTTACTGTTAATGCTGAATCCCCGAAAAAACAAATCCAATTCATAGAAAAATCATAACAAAGTATGAAATCTTCAGCTTAATTCCTTAATCAACCCGGGTTAAAATGATTGTATAGTTAAGACATTAAAGCGGTTTCTCGTCGGATTAAATCAAAAATAATAGAACAAAATTAAAGATTTTAGACATGCGCTCTCTCCATAATCCACTAAATAAAATAGCCAATTTCATACGCATTTTCTAAACAGTAAATTTGATCTGATACCAAAATTATATATCCATGTGTTATCCATATAGTTGCTCTCTTTTTTGCAAATGTTTTATTCAATAATTCGAACTGAAATTATACCAATAAGGAAAAATTAAATCATGTATAATTACAGAAATTATTTTCTCCCTTTTCAAATGTAACATATTCCTTCTTCTTTTTGTGTTGATAATCCATATAATATTATAGCCGATGCGATATAAATAGCTCGTCTCAATTACACTGAAACCTTGCAAGCAACAAGTACATTTTACGTACATTAAGGAGCCATAGAATGTTATACATTTGTAAGTACAATGGGCACGCAAATGAATAGGACATTTTAATTCAATGATACAATAGAGCCAAACTGAACTGAAAGGAACTTGATTGGGCAACGATATTTGTATTTGATATCATCAGTCAAATGTAGAGCATTATTCAAGCACACTCCCTTTTGGCACTCTGCGTATAACATACAAAATTATACTTTACAGCTATACTAAAGTTGTGGAATGCTTACTCACTCATCACAGTTCCTTCAATTTTTTTTTTTTTTTTTCATTTTGCTCCCTAATTCGGCTTAAGTGATGAATTCATAAGCATAACAAACTGTACTGAAAGGAACCCGACTGGGAAACGACATTTGTGTTTAATATTATCAGTCAAAGGAAGAGCATTATCCTTGCATGACTGAGCAACAGATGAAATATAAACTATCTATATGTAGTAACCTGCACGTAGAGCTAATCTCCTGTACAAATATTTCAGTAAGAGGGGCGTGTCTTGACGTTGCATATCCTGGCACCTCAGGACACGCCCCTTTGTTCGCTTAAAAACTCGTTATCTTTGGAGTAAATTCAGAATACCCGAAATATACGCAACGTATCTAGGTAAGGAATTGTATAGCTGGAACTTTGATTTGTCTATTTGATATAAAACCACTACATTGCAATGTTATAGCGTTGCATCTTCTGTAGAATCATCGGGATTGATACTTACAGTAGTTCCCAATGTTTGCTGTGAACCTTGCTTCATTCGAATAGTGACTCAGAATATAACGAGAAATTGATGGAAAGACCTGCTTTCAGTACATTGTCTACAAATAAAGTAGAGTATGAAAACAAAGTCCACGGTATATGTCCATGGTCGGTTGGAAGATAATATCGCCAATTTCAACGAAGTTATTGTTAACCAGAAATTCGTTCATTTTCACGATTTCACCCAATGTTTATTTCTAATCGGCTTTAGGCACACTACGACATACGTGAACCACAGAATATGTTTGAGTATAGCTCACAACCGTACAATTGTTCCGCCGTGCATATTTCCTTGAAAACAAAGCACTAATAAACGAAGTCTTCTTTGTCTCGAATGGGTTCTGGTAGTGCATAAAGCAAACTAATTAAATATTCGTAAATCAGTTATGTTCTGCAGAGAATGTTGCAATATTCGTCAAAAAGCTATTTGGAATTAAATCCTCATATCATTAGTTATACTTCTAGATCGGTTATTGAGCCTTTTAGTAGTGGTTGTCTAGGTTACGCTAAGTTATGTGTTTACCCTTGTTATCACTAAGGCGTGCTAACTCAACAACATAAAGGGAAGGAATAAAGAATGTCATACACAAAGTCAAACTAAAACGTGCACTGCATACGGGGAAGCTTTTCCGGAAAGATATATTTTCCTCTCGTAATGACGTAGAAAAAAACATGGTTTTAATATTGATCTGTTAAAAAAGAAATCATGCACTCTTGTCTACGTTACTTTATGTTTAACGCGGGTTCGGGTTTGTGTGTAACTAGTAAATTTCCCTGTTTTTTCACCGCCCATGTTATGTCCTGTGATTTCATCCTGGCCACTGTTTGGAGACTTCTTGTAAACTTTCTGAAGCAGCTACGCCATCGATGCATAGGATGTGATGAGCCATTCACCGTTAAACGTTTTTAATTGGACTGCATTGACCTTCTGTCTATTCGAGAATTTTTTATCGTAACATTACAATTCTAAAGACCCTTTTTGAAACTGTTGAGATTAATCAAATTCTAGGTTATCTTAATATGGTTCTAATGACCTTTTATGTGTTAACGGGGCGTTAAGACTGTAAGTTGTAATAACTTCATTTTCACGCATCATCATAAGTAAATAAGTTATATCTGTTGTGTTAAGTAAGTAATTCAACTGCGACATGAATGGCAACTAGACCATATCATATCCAGTATCAATGATTTATAGGCAAAGTATCAACCTACCATGAAGTTTGGTGTAAAATCAGGGTTATGTTCCTCTAACGAACGCCCAGTGCTATATACTGGTCGCTATGTAGCAGCGGACGATTTCAACCGAGCGTGAGATGTGAACATGTCACTTTAAAGGGGATATTTAATCTGATGTAAATCGGTCTTAAATACCCAGGGTACAGTATCACACAGCAAGTAGTTGGCTTAAATCTGACATAAGACATGGCGGGATTTTCTCTCATACATTCGGAAAGGTATGGTATCAATATGCGTTTGCTTGATATGTTTTTCATTATTGATCATCATATCTTCTGAGCCTTACACATTACTACCATTCGATCTGAGGCACTGTCTAGTCTTGTCAACATTGCCTTTTAGATTAAGAAACTGTTTTGTTCAAAGATACATAAACGCTAGTGATACTTTAATGTTATATTGATGTAGCTGACGAATATCAACACGAGAGAATCGTATCGTCCTATTTCAAATAAATTTACTCTGACTTAGAATTACCTTGTGATATCTAGAGTTGACATTTATTCAAAATCACTGAGAACATCAGTAATTAATACTAATTCGGGAATATTAAAATAACAGTACTGATTGAAGTTATGGAGGCTTTTCGTCTTTCGAATTAAGAAATTCGGGATAAATTTTTTTCTCTCTAATTTTTATTTCCATTAGCAATTCATACAGTACAATGTATTACAGATATTTGTATTTCCCATTCACAACACTTGTCTTTATCATAATACCTATTACACATAATATTTCAGTACCTGGTACAGAAATATGATTTATATATATATATATATATATTTTCATATATCATTACTTCAGGGCACATGTGTAAAAACACATTTAATTTGCTCTGAAACAGAATCAGCACCTAGGATATAACATAGTTGACAAACATTATAACTGTATTTTTAATGCATGTAACAACTGATAGAATCTGAAATCTTCTCTATTTGTCCTTATTATCATATCTATTCTGTCTCTCAACTCATTTCTTATCTTACCAATTAGAGATAGTGGATTTTGTATTTCATTTTCAAATTTCTTTGAATTTCTGGCCTTCCAGATTAACCACTTAGAATGAAAAATTACAATGTTACAGAGTTTGTTGATGTTCTCTGGATATTCTGATATACCAAAAATCCTTTCTTTATCAGTTAAAACAATATACTGATAATCTACTGAAACATTAAAGAGACACTCATTCAATAACCTTTCAATTTGTAGCCATACCTCTTCACTCAATCTGCACTCACTAAAAAGATGTTGTTGTGTTTCTTGTTCTTCCTTACAAAAATTACAAAGACCATTTGATTTCTTCATTTCTTTCAATTTGTGTTCAGTGGTTATAATTCTGTGTATACTTCTCCACTGAAAATCTTTTACTTTTTTTTCTAGTCTACTGCTGTTTAATGAATGCCAAACTGCTTTCCACTCTAGATTGTAGTCTGTATCCCATTTCTGAATAGATTTTATCTGATTTGCTGTTTGAAACAATACATTTTGAATAGCTTTATTAAATAGTTTATTTAGTGCCAGCAAATTTTTACCATAAATGAAATATAAATCTTCTGTAATTTTGAATTTAGCTCTATTGTTTCCATTGTTATTTTGTAGCATATTTTTCCATTCCAAAGAGAAGGCTTTTCTTATAGTTGTATACTCTGATATCCAATTATTCTTTAATCTTAATTTTCTAAGTAATTCTCCTGATGTAATAAAGTCATGCTGTTCCGTATCCCAAATATCTTGAACCTTGGTAATCCCACTACTTGCCCACCCTTTATAAAATATAGGACTGTTTTTAAATAGTAGATTGTGGTTTCCAAATAAGTTCTGGTTGAGTACATCATCTGAAGTGGAAATAGAAGTGGTTCTCAGCAACTTTTGCCAATAGAACAGCCCTTCTAAATATATTTCTGAGATTTTGCTAATTTCTAAATTCTTAATGTTACTACATCTGCATAAAAAATAATTTGCATGATATACTGCATCATATTTTTGCAACATATTTTTCCCAATTATGTTCCAAGATTGGATATCACAGTGAATAAGACGGTATATTAATTTAATTCTGTTTATTGCAATAATGACATCTAGGTCTACCATGTTCAAGCCTCCATCTTTCTTTTCTAGATAAACAGCTTCTTTTGAAACTTTGTTTATTTTACTTCCCCACAGAAATTCATAGATTAATATATTTATTCTACGCTTATATTCATTTAGTATTGTGTTTTGTGCTAATTCATATGTCAACTGTGAACACAACAGTGACTTAATTATAAGGGTTTTTCCTTCTAGTGTCAATTGTCTTGGTCTCCATGTTTTAATTATGCTTTCTATTTTTTTATTTTATTTTCCCATACCCGTTTTTTATCTATATTGTACCCCATATAAATTCCTAGAACTTTAATGTTGTCTGTCACCCATGATATCTCCATGTAGTTTGGAGGTCGTTGCTTCCAACTACCAATATACATACCTTTTGTTTTCTTCTTACTGATACGTGCGCCTGAAGCTTTCTCGTAGCATTCAAGTACTTTCAAAAGATATTTAATGCAATTTTCTTTACTTAAAAATAGTTGAGAGTCGTCCGCGAACATGCTAATTTTAGTTTGTAACTTTACATCATTGACTATTGGTAGATCGATTCCAGTTATATTATTATCTTTCCTTATTGAACACGCCATTGCCTCTGCCTGAATAATATATAATATTGGTGCTAAAGGGCACCCTTGTTTTACTGAACGAGATATTTTGAAGAATTTAGACAAGTGTCCATTTGTTAGAATACAACTTTTTGAAAATTTATAGGTCATATTTATATATTCTCTCATTGATTTTCCAAAATTGAACTTCTCTAGACATTTTTCTAACCAACCCCATTCCACTCTATCAAACGCTTTTTGTTGATCTAAGAAGATAATAATACCTCCCTTCTGCTCCATATCTGTGTAATCGACAATATCAGTTAATAATCGTATTGATTCTTCTATATTCCTGCCTTTAATAAACCCTCTCTGATCGCTATGTATAATATTTTGTAGTAATGGTTTTATTCTTTCTGCTATTAACTTGGCTATAATCTTATAATCAGTGTTAAGAAGGGTGATCGGTCGCCAGTTTGATATATCTTCCCTCTCCCCGGGATAAATTGATGAAACCATTGCGAAGGAAACTTCATAGTCTGATTTTCATCTACAATTAAGTGTTAGTTGAACTATTAATTACTCAATCATACTTGAATTGCTCTGTTTAAGTCCATATTGAGCTTCATTTCTCTAAATCCACAACAACAATCCCGGAGTCGAACTTCGATGATTCTAATTTCTTGATGTATCAAAGTTTTTATTCGGTCCTGAATTTTATTCATATATATAACTACTAACTAACCGTATTATGAATCAAAGTTTTATAAATCGAACTTTTCGATGTATCAACTTTTTCATGGACCTAGGCTATGATAACAGTTACTGACACCTGATGATTCAGACAAAATATTTTACCTGTACCGCACAGGTACAGTGCCACGGCAAAACAGCTTACAATCAAAGATAATGGGTTGTCGTTTGATGTTCACTGCCGCCATGGCGGTAATGATATTCAGTTAGGTCTAATTTACGGAATTTTGAAAACAACCGGAGGAAATCCTATCACTTGTAAGATGATCTAATTCACTCGCAAAACGTCACTTTTCAGTTTAAAGCATAAAAGCATGAGAAACACGGTGATTTATTTGACAACCATGCATTTTCCGATTGATTCAGACTAGCTGTTGTCAAAACATCGACCAACACACTTGTAGACCACTTAAATGCTGCGTTTCATTCAATCGATCCGTAAGATACACATACTGCGTGTCACGGGGTCACGAATGTAACCGTAAGCATGCATTATCGATGCCTCGTTGATTTCTACTTAAAGTGGTTTTTTTTTCATGAATGAAAATGTTTTGTTTTAATATGAAAATATATCGATTCATTTAAACTTGTGCTTTGGTTTTAGTTGTGTTTATTCAGGTAGGAATACTGTGTCATTAACTATGTACAGCTATAAACATAAAAGCGTCGATATAACCTACCACGAAGGAGAAGCTTTTTTGGTAGCCATTTGAACTTCGAAATAACGAAGTTTGACTGTATTATATCTATATTATATCAAAGGCCTAAAGGCCTTGATGATAACCTGAGATAAGCAATATTGAGTATAAAGGTTAAAGGTTAAGTAGCTTTCAAGTGTCATGAAAAAGAAATGGTGACATTGATGATAGTAAGCCAAGGTCAATACGTGCATACCATCACAACTGTCATCCTATCCTAATAATTCTTACAAAGTTATTTCCAGTAGGAAGCAAACAACGTTATGCTCAAAAATGTTATCTTGTCTATAAAATTACAGTAAAGTTAACATCCTCCTGATGAAGCAATATGAAAAAAGTTTTCAAATTTAAATCAATTTGACCCGTTTTGCCCCTGCCATCAATCTCTAGGTGCCAGTAAGGATCAATCTATGCAAACCAACTAGCCGTCAAAGATTGAAATATTTCCAATAGAAATTAAACAAATTATGTTCAAAAACCTATTTTGCTTATATAAACTATACTAAACGCTTCCCCCTCCCCGCGAGAAAGTTCACAATATTGGTAAAGCACCTTAACACTTTCATTGAGGAAGTGTATTTGATTCTATCATATGTGTGTTGAGAAGTTGATTTTTGAAATCTGAATCAATTTGACCCCTTTGTACCCCGCCACTGGAGTCAGGTAAGATAAATATAAGCATACCATAAAGCTGTCATCCTTCGCTAATAATTCTAACCAGGTTTGAAATTTCTCTAATGAAAATTATACAAATTCTGCTCAAAAATTGATTTTTTTTTAATGGATAAACTGTAGTAAACTTTAGCACCTCCCCACGGGGAAATGTGCCACCATTGGGTCATGTATAAACTGTAGTAAAATTTAGCACCTCCCCACGGGGAAATGTGCCACCATTGGGTCATGTATAAACTGTAGTAAACTTTAGCACCTCCCCACGGGGAAATGTGCCACCATTGGGTCATGTATAAACTGTAGTAAAATTTAGCACCTCCCCACGGGGAAATGTGCCACCATTGGGTCATGTATAAACTGTAGTAAACTTTAGCACCTCCCCACGGGGAAATGTGCCACCATTGGGTCATGAAATTCACAGTTTTGATAAATCACCTTCAAATGCGTCCATTCATGTAGAATATTTGATTCTACAATATCTGGGTGTTGAAAAGAATTTTCAAACCAGAGACAATTTGACCCCTTCCTTTTGACCACGTCCCTCAGACCCCTGTGGAGTAGGGACCGTATAATTCACTCTGTTGTTTCATCACAGTAACGGGAAGGTTTCTGTTTCATTGAAATTGGTTCAAGGGCTTTTAGAAGAAGTTGAAAATGTTAAATTAATCCCGATGAGATCATGAGACCAGGAGAGTTTTTCACCCACATTTTTGCTAATAGGGTATTGCTGATTTATTTAGTTCTCCGTTTAGCTTAGAGTTGAGCCCTGTTTTCCGCAAATTATTTACACTGTACTACCTTAACATCGAATGAATGGCCATTTTCAACACACGTTTGAGATTCTGAAGCTCACGGATCGGACGTTCCTAATTAGTTGGGCCTCGTTAAAGGTTTCCTTTAAGCTCAATGTTAAGCTTTCGTAATCGCTAAGTAGTCTAGCTGTCTTAACCAAAAGTCTTATATACTTTGATCTGTGTATGGTCATAACACGGATTCAGATGATTGATTTTACTTTGTCAATCAATTGTGGCATGTCTATGTTTTCCTTTTAGATCTACATTGAGACTAAATGTGTGTTTAATTCTGATGACATGGGGAAGCAGGGTCACACGAGATATGTACAAATATAGTTATTCATGTATTTTATTTGCTGTACTGTATCTAATTCTGTGTGAAATGTTTGTCTTTTTTACAATCAACAAACATGTAGTTATTTTTTTCTGTTACAGAAGTGTATCGAGAGTGCTAGCTGGTAAAAAAGCCATTGTTACAGGAGCCGGACGTGGCATTGGTCGAGTTATTGCCCATACATTGTACAACGCGGGAGCGCGCCTAACTGCTGTCAGTAAAACAAAAGATAATCTGGAAAGACTCCGAACGGACCTTCCTGGTATAGACACAATCTGCGTCAACCTCCGGGACTGGGAATACACCAGACAATCCCTTGATGATTTACCATCGTTTGATATCCTGGTAAACAATGCAGGTTTCGGATTATCAGGGAGTTTTACAGACATGCCAAAGGAAGTGACCGATAATATGATCGATATGAATATAAAAGGGATGATAAACGTCACACAGGTCATAGGGAAGGGAATGGTCGCTGGAGGAAGAGGCGGTTCGATTGTCAACGTATCCAGCATGGCGTCACATAGGTCCCTTAATGGACACACCGTGTACGCTGCCACTAAAGCGGCAATTGACGCCATTACTAGAAATTTGGCCCGGGAATTTGCGCCTCACGGCATCCGGGTCAACTCTGTGAACCCGACTTATGTCAGCACGGATATGACAAAACACATACCGGAAGCTGCCGTAGAAAAACTCCGTGTTCTTACACCTACTCGGAAACTGCTGACGTCAGAGGAAGTTGCCGAAGCTGTTTTATTTCTCGTCAACGGATCGGCTTCGTCTATTAATGGGGTCAATCTTCTGTTAGATGGCGGCTACACAGCTACTTAGATCAGAAACGTATTCTGGATATGCCTGGCATTCTTATCTAAGGCTTGTGTGACATACAAACTAATAACTTTATGGTTGTGTAATAGTGTCGCTTGTTTCCGGTATCAACCTCCTATTTCTGATACTGCGAGAGTGTAGCTATTTAAGGATTGTATTCTGACCTTGAAAAACTTTTTTGTCTAAGTTTTATGAAATTCGTAATGTGAATATTTTTCTTCGTTGGTTTGATTTTTAATGCTTTTTGTCAATAGCACAAACAAGTTAGATTAATTACCTGTAAACACCCAAGTTTGTCACGCCATCCATATAAATCATGCAAAGTCAACTCAATATAAACCTGTTAACACGCTGCGTGGATTCTAAACTTTCATCATATGCATGTATAATTTGTTTATTTTTTAAACAACGTGTAATGTGTAAAATTAAAAGCATTGTAGATAATTAAGTTTGACTTACATACAAATATTTCCCCAGAATTATCCGACATAGAAATTATCCGGAAATGATCTTGTTTGTGTCTGATATATATATATGATATACGGTGTAATACGGTGATGGAACTGCTGGAAATTAATGTGAACCTGTATTTACTACAGTGTCGAAGAGATATTAAACATCAAAAATCGTTCTGTAAGATGATGGTGCGGCGATGTATTGTAGGTTGAAATTCCAGACCAGACAAGGGACGAATTAGTTTGTTATAATTTGAGTATTGTAATGTAGTAATATAACTAATAAACACACTGTACAGTTAACTCTATAGGCGTTTCTTTGAAAGTATTTTTATACTTTGTATGACACACTCTTGTTAATGTTTGTTTTAACTCGACTTGTCAAAGGTGCGTCGTCTTAGATAGGTTGATTCTGACAGATTGTTTTCATCAAGCCTTGGACTAATAGGTATATAGTTCAAATCACTTCGCGTCAGTGACGATGAAAGGATTTTTTATCAACAGAAAAGTGAATAAATATTATATAGAACCCGGCTCTGCGCCCCAATTTCACACCTCCTACACTGCATCAGACACAACCCAGGGCAATGAAGAACAGGGTAAAATAAGATCAAAAACGGTAAAATCCTCCGATAGCAAAGCTGTCTGTGGTCTAAGTTTGAAGTGAAACATTCGTTGATAGAGGAGTGATTTTTTTTCATACACATTATGCCTGACACACCCTAACCACATGGTAAAAGATATTATTGTTTAAGTTCTTGTATTGATAAATATAATGAACATTCTTGGATAATAAAATGCAATTTTTCATATTTATTTACGAGGCCATCACAACCAATGGGGAGAAGGAACCTTTTGCAGAAAGGATTGAGGGGAAGGGGAGTAGGAACCTATAGGAGGAAGGGTTGAGGGAAAGGGGAGTAGGAACCTATAGGAGGAAGGATTGAGTGAAAGGGGAGAAGGAACCTATAGGAGGAAGGGTTGAGGGAAAGGGGAGAAGGAACCTATAGGAGGAGGGATTGAGGGAAAGGGGAGTAGGAACCTATAGGAGGAAGGATTGAGGGAAAGGGGAGAAGGAACCTATAGGAGGAAGGATTGAGGGAAATAAGAGTAGGAACCTATAGGAGGAAGGATTGAGGGAAATAAGAGTAGGAACCTATAGGAGGAAGGGTTGAGGAAAAGGGGATTAGGAACCTATAGGAGGAAGGATTGAGGGAAATAAGAGTAGGAACCTATAGGAGGAAGGATTGAGGGAAAGGGGAGAAGGAACCTATAGGAGGAAGGATTGAGGGAAAGGGGAGTAGGAACCTATAGGAGGAAGGATTGAGGGAAAGGGGAGAAGGAACCTATAGGAGGAAGGATTGAGGGAAAGGGGAGTAGGAACCTATAGGAGGAAGGATTGAGGGAAAGGGGAGTAGGAACCTATAGGAAGGATTGAGGGAAAGGGGAGTAGGAACCTATAGGAGGAAGGGATTGAGGAAAAGGGGAGTAGGAACCTATAGGAGGAAGGATTGAGGGAAAGGGGAGTAGGAACCTATAGGAGGAAGGATTGAGGAAAAGGGGAGTAGGAACCTATAGGAGGAAGGATTGAGGAAAAGGGGAGTAGGAACCTATAGGAGGAAGGATTGAGGGAAAGGGGAGTAGGAACCTATAGGAGGAAGGATTGAGGGAAAGGGGAGTAGGAACCTATAGGAGGAAGGATTGAGGGAAAGGGGAGTAGGAACCTATAGGAGGAAGGATTGAGGGAAAGGGGAGTAGGAACCTATAGGAGGAAGGATTGAGGGAAAGGGGAGTAGGAACCTATAGGAGGAAGGATTGAGGAAAAGGGGAGTAGGAACCTATAGGAGGAAGGATTGAGGGAAAGGGGAGTAGGAACCTATAGGAGGAAGGATTGAGGGAAAGGGGAGTAGGAACCTATAGGAGGAAGGATTGAGTGAAAGGGGAGTAGGAACCTATAGGAGGAAGGATTGAGGGAAAGGGGAGTAGGAACCTATAGGAGGAAGGATTGAGGGAAAGGGGAGTAGGAACCTATAGGAGGAAGGATTGAGGGAAAGGGGAGTAGGAACCTATAGGAGGAAGGATTGAGGGAAAGGGGAGTAGGAACCTATAGGAGGAAGGATTGAGGGAAAGGGGAGTAGGAACCTATAGGAGGAAGGATTGAGGGAAAGGGGAGTAGGAACCTATAGGAGGAAGGATTGAGGGAAAGGGGAGTAGGAACCTATAGGAGGAAGGATTGAGGGAAAGGGGAGTAGGAACCTATAGGAGGAAGGATTGAGGAAAAGGGGAGAAGGAACCTATAGGAGGAAGGATTGAGGGAAAGGGGAGTAGGAACCTATAGGAGGAAGGATTGAGGGAAAGGGGAGTAGGAACCTATAGGAGGAAGGATTGAGGGAAAGGGGAGTAGGAACCTATAGGAGGAAGGATTGAGGGAAAGGGGAGTAGGAACCTATAGGAGGAAGGATTGAGGAAAAGGGGAGTAGGAACCTATAGGAGGAAGGATTGAGGGAAAGGGGAGTAGGAACCTATAGGAGGAAGGATTGAGGGAAAGGGGAGTAGGAACCTATAGGAGGAAGGATTGAGGAAAGGGAGAAGGAACTATAGGAGGAAGGATTGAGGGAAAGGGGAGTAGGAACCTATAGGAGGAAGGATTGAGGGAAAGGGGAGTAGGAACCTATAGGAGGAAGGATTGAGGGAAAGGGGAGTAGGAACCTATAGGAGGAAGGATTGAGGGAAAGGGGAGTAGGAACCTATAGGAGGAAGGATTGAGGGAAATAAGAGTAGGAACCTATAGGAGGAAGGATTGAGGGAAAGGGGAGAAGGAACATATAGGAGGAAGGATTGAGGGAAAGGGGAGTAGGAACCTATAGGAGGAAGGATTGAGGAAAAGGGGAGTAGGAACCTATAGGAGGAAGGATTGAGGAAAAGGGGAGAAGGAACCTATAGGAGGAAGGATTGAGGGAAAGGGGAGTAGGAACCTATAGGAGGAAGGATTGAGGGAAAGGGGAGTAGGAACCTATAGGAGGAAGGATTGAGGGAAAGGGGAGTAGGAACCTATAGGAGGAAGGATTGAGGGAAAGGGGAGTAGGAACCTATAGGAGGAAGGATTGAGGGAAAGGGGAGTAGGAACCTATAGGAGGAAGGATTGAGGGAAAGGGGAGAAGGAACCTATAGGAGGAAGGATTGAGGGAAAGGGGAGTAGGAACCTATAGGAGGAAGGATTGAGGGAAAGGGGAGAAGGAACCTATAGGAGGAAGGATTGAGGGAAAGGGGAGTAGGAACCTATAGGAGGAAGGATTGAGGGAAAGGGGAGTAGGAACCTATAGGAGGAAGGATTGAGGGAAAGGGGAGTAGGAACCTATAGGAGGAAGGATTGAGGAAAAGGGGAGTAGGAACCTATAGGATTAAGAGAAATTTAAGTTGTTGTTCTGTTAGTGAACTGAGAGGCCAATATTTTTTTACAAGCACTAATTTTCATATTCTGGAACGCTTTATATAAACGTATGGAAATGCTTCAACACAAGTACTTTATAGCCGTGCCTTATTTCTCTCTTTTTTCTCTCTTTCTTTGTAGAGGGTAAATACAAATTTGTTGGGGATCGTTTACCATTACATTTTAACTTAACTTTAACTTAATATTATGAAAATATGAGTCGACTCTCTTATTCCAGGTAGATAATGATAACCTACGAGACCAGGTTTTAAATCAAACTTCTACTACAAAACTGACTGACTTAGACAGGGTTAGATAAAGGATCATAAATAACAGCAAACTTACAAACAAAACTGTCGACGTAATTAAGTATCAGGAAAATATCTGAATTATTGATTTTTTATTTCAAAGTGGGAGGTTGGTTTTAATTACTTCGTGGAGCGATCTGCACAAGAAACAAATTAAGAGGACAGAGATTTAGCACTAATTTCGACCTACGGTCCATATATATGTATTATTGTGACAAGGGATGTAACTCCCGAGGATTTTTGGATCCAGGTCGAGATTGGGTACAGGTCACACCACGGCGGTTAATGTTTATCAGGTGAATACCGTGATGTAAATGTGGAAATTCTACAACGTACGAGACATGACAGCATCAACGGTCACGTGGTGTGGACAAGGTCAGAGTTACTATACACCGGCAAAAGCGTACATCTTGTCATTATTATTATTAAGGAACTCACTGGAGACGAGAGCGTAATTCGAACAGACAGAGAATTGTCTATCTGGCCATTTTTACATGTAACTCCGATTTCGTCAGATCATAACTTGGTTTATATTAGGTAGATATCGATCACCAAACACTTATTTGAAAGATAAAAAAAAAATTCTCCTCGGGGTAATGTATGTATTACTGAGATCTACGCCCCCTACAATGTATAAAACTCATCATCAAATAAACAAAATTCAGTTTTTTTCTTCACGGGAGTTACACTTCTCTTCACGGGAGTTACACTTCTCTTCACGGGAGTTACACCTCTCTTCACGGGAGTTACACTTCTCTTCACGGGAGTTACACCTCTCTTCACGGGAGTTACACTTCTCTTCACGGGAGT